TTTAATTAAAAATTACTACCTGCTATTACTAGTTAAAAAAATCTTAAATAATTTAAAAAAAATATAATATTTTATTAAGATTAATATTATTAATATCTTTAATAATATCCAGATTATTAAAAACTAAGAATACTTAATAATATTCTATATAAGATTTAGTTTTTATAAATTACTAGTTATACTGTTTAAATTATCAGAAATTTTTATTATTTTTTAATATTATATTAATAATATCCTGCAAGACTATCTGGATATATTTTATATAATTTATTTAAATAATATTTTTATTTATAACTGAACTAAAAGTAAATATTTAAATTATATTAAAAAGATTTTTTAAAAGCTTTATACAGTCAGTCTATTTATTAAATTATTTAAATATAAATTTATTATTTCTGAAACTAAGTTCTTGGGTCTTATTATAAATTATAATAAATTTTATATAAATTTTAAAAAAATTAAGATTATTATTAACTAATTTATTTTAATTTATATTACTAATATATAAGTTTTTCTAGACTTTAGTAATTTTTATTATTATTTTATTTAAAATTTCTTTAAATTAATTATTCTGCTTATATATCTTATTAAAAAAGATATTTTTTTCTAGTAAAATATAATTTATTAAAATATTTTTAATTATTTATAAAAGATTTTTATAAATATTTTTATATTCCAGTCCTTTAATTAAATTTATAAAATAATATTTAAAATTAATATTTTTAATTATATCTCTGCCGGAGTTCTATTCTAATATAATAATAATAATTTATTATATTTTATTATTTTTTTTTCTAAAAAATACACTCTGATAAAGTATAATTATAAAATTTATAATAAAGAATTTCTTATAATTATCTACTACTTTAAAAAATAATATTTAGAATTTAAAAAAATCTTATTTTTAATTTAAATTATTATAAACTACTATAATCTGGAATATTTTATATTTATTAAATTTTTAAATTATTATTAGACCTGATAATCAGAATTTTTATCTTATTTTAATTTCTGTATTATTTATTATTTTAAATATTATAAAATTAAATTTAATAATCTGATTAGAAGATCAGAAGATCTTTTTAAAAAAAAAATAAATAATTATTATATTAAAATTAGATTATACTTAAATAAAAGAATCTAGATCTTATTTATTCTATAAAAAAAGACTTTAATTTACTATCTGTATATAAAGATTTTATAAAAAATTTTTATAAAATTTTTCTAGATTTTATTTATTTTATTAATAATAAATCTAAATAATTACAGGAACCTGATCTACTAGTTATTTAAAAAAATTTTATAAAAATTTTTTATAAATTTATTTTAATTCTAGTAATCTGATAATTAATCTAAATTATTTTTAAAAATAAATAAAATTTATAATTATTTTTTAAAATCTAGATTACTCTGTAAGATATATATAAGAAAAATAAATAAATATTAAATATTTTAAAAATATTAATAACAGATAAAAATTAATATCTAAATATTTTTTTAACTTTTTATAAAAGAAAAGAAAGTTTATTATATTATAAAAATTATTTATAAATCCCTAATTATATTAATCTGAAAACTAATTTAATTTATTTAATTTATAATATATTTTTCTCAGAATATTCTAGAAGATTTTATATTTATAAATTCTTAATTTAAAAATATTATTAGTCAAACTAGTACTATTATATAAAATAATAAATAAGAAACTGCTATATTTACTAAAAAATAATTTTTTTATAAAAAATTAAATAAAATATTTTAAAATCCTTATTAGTCTTAAAGTATATTTAATAAAATATATTTATAGATTTTATTATTTATTTATTAAAGAGTAGGAGCTATAATATAATATTAATAATTATTAATTATTTAATTAAAATAAAATATCTAATCTTCTATAGTATTATAGCTAATATTATTATTATAATTCTTATATATATTTAATATATATAAAAATTATATAAATTATTTTATTTTATTATTTCTGATAAAAGCCTTTAGTTTATTATTAATTTTTAAAAATATCTAATTCAATATTTAAATATTAAAAATAAATTATTAATAATTTATTATTTAGAAACTGATGAACAGACAGAATAGATAAATATTATATTTAAATAATATTTTTATATTTATATAAATTATCTGTAGAATAACTAGTCCAGTTAATTATTTTTAATTAAATTTATTTTAAATATTATTTATTTTAATATAATTAAAATTATTTTATTTTTTATTAATTATAGCTTTTATTTTTATATAAAATTTAAATTTATATCTGTATTAAATTAATCTGCTATTAAAGATATAAAATAATTTATTATTAAAATATAAATAATTATTAAATTTATATAAATTAAAATAATTATAATTTAAGCCAAATATATAAAGTAAATAAATAAAAAATATTATTTTAATTTAAAATTCTAAAAAAATTAAAAGATCTGGCTGAATATCTGATTTATTAAGATTTTATAATTTAATAAAAAATTTAATTAGAATATTTTAAACTTATATTTAATTAAATAAATTATTAATTTATATATTTATTATCTAATATTTTTATTTAATATAAAAATTTATTTAATATTTTATATAAGCCTGCTTATCTCTGCTAATAATAATTTATTATTAAATTAATATTAATTTTTTTCTTTTTATATTAAAGTTAATAATCTTAAAAAATAAAAAATTAAAAATATATTAGATTTTTTTTAGAATTATTATAAGCAAGGCTGACTCTAGCTGATTTATTTTATTAAATAAAAAAAATATATTAATTTTATTACAGAATCTACTGAATATCTAAAAAATACTTATTAAATTATTAAGAATTTTTATTATTATTATTTAAATAAATCTAGATCTTTCTCTTATAAAAGCTCAGCTTAAGAAAAAAAAATATTATTATAATATTAATTATAGAATATTATCTGGACTAACTACTTAAATATATAATTTAAAAAAATATAAAACTTACCAGCCTTCTAGATTCTATTTATAGTTTTAAGTTATATCTTATCTATCTTTCTATATATAATCTGACTGTAGTTAGCCAGCCAGCCTCCTACCTGTTTCTATTTTCTATTTAAGCTATCTTTCTACCACCCCTGCCAGCCCGCACCTTGACATGTATAGGATTTTTAATAATATAAAATAAATAATATTAAGTAATTAAAGTTTATGGAAAGAATAAGATAATATATATAAAAAAATAATTAATTTTTTTTTATAATATTAATTAAATTTAACACTTAAATAACTTCCATGATTATTAAAAATAAAAAAATAATATTAATTTATTATTTTTAAAATTATATAAATATTAAAGTATTAAAGCTAGTTAAATATAAGTTTATTATTTATTTATTTATTATTATTAATACTAATCTACTAATTATTAGAAATAGCTTTAAATTACTTCTCTTATTATATTTTATTTATAAAGATAATCTGTAGAGATAATATACTTTCTTTAATATTAATTATAATAATTAAAATAATTTATTCATAATTTCTAGATTATATAAATTTTATATTTATTTAATATAATTCAGTACCGCAGATAATTTTTATAATTAATATTATTTTTATTTAAAAACCTGTTTTATCTATATTATAAGTATTATATTTAAGAATTCTATATTTTTATATAATATTTTATATTAATTTAAATTATTAATTTATAATTTTAATATCCTTATACTTTGCATGTTAATAATTAAAATATTAAGTATATTTAGATTTTAATTTAATCTGATAATATTGAATGAATTAATTAATTTAATATTTATTAATAAAAATATTTTTTAACTTTAATTTTAATACTAGAAGAATCTCTATAAAATATTATATTTTAATAATAATAAACAGATAGTCTTGTGAATCTAATTTAAAAATTCTATATTTTAAAATTAATTTATTATTATTAAATAATTTTTTTAAATTTATTTTTATTTCTGTACAAGGTTTGATACTATTCAAATAATCTTTTAGAGTATTTATCTTAATATTAAATATTATAGTATATATCTTTTTAATAATAAATTAGCTATAATTAAAGATCTTGCAGGTAAGTACTAGTCTCTTATCTCAAGAAAAATTCTCTATGTATTTAAATAGCTTTAATATTAACTGAATTAAGTAAGGTTGAATATATTGCGTGTTATATTGTATAGAGGTTCGAAGTGGTGAGGATTACTGCGCCGGCTCATTGTCGCGCCGCTTCGTTGTCCGGTTACGTTACTGTTATGGTTTTATAGTTACTAAGTTAAATGTGAATGTAGATTCTGATACACAGTACTGTAGATTGGCATGCATGGCTTATTCGTGCCTGCCAAAAGGCCGCAGTAAAGGGAAGCCAGCGCCCCAGTAATTCGAACAAACCGGGCCTAACTGTATAGCAACAACCTCAAGCCGCCTAGTGAAGGGCACTTGTGTGATTAGAACATCAAGAAGCATTTGTGGAGTGCTAAAGCTAGACCAGAGGCCCAGTCTTGAAGGTAACGCTCCAGTCAGGACTTTGTTGAAATTAATTTGTGAAGTTTATTTTGTGGCTCAGGGTGGTTGGATGGTAGGCCTTAACTGCGTTTTACTTTACAAAGTACGAAGTGCGGAGTATTTCAGTGGTATCTCAACTGAAGCCTGGCACGCTCGTTATGTATTTATATAGACATATTTCCCCTCTGCCGCCTTCGCCTCGATTCTTTATAGTAGTATATCCATAATGGACATCGTCTGCAGCCAGAAACATCGGGTTGCCCTGTTATGCCCACCTGGGCATCCGTCGGGCCCGATTTCTAGCCAGATCTACAGTAGGTAGTTACAATGGGCAAGTTACCCGAGTCTTCGGTGTTCAAGGTGCCTGGGTACCTTATTTGTACTGATACTGTAAAGGGGAGTGCACCGCCTCGCCCAACTGTTGTTCCGGATTCCGGTGCCCCCCCATACTCCGTAGAGTGTGACGTATCCCGCTAGTCTAAACATGACCCCTAGGCAGACACAACTACTCCTATTTACCAAACTATCACCCGGTGTTCTTCCATACATACGATCATTTTTAGTTGATAAAGGTATACAATTCAATCTCGCTCGTGTCATACAGATTTGGAGCGTCACTTGTTTCCTTTTGCCACATCTGACAGGGAACAATTGTGTTAGGTTATTACACAGACATTTGAAGCTTTTGTGGTGAACCAGCTGGTAGACATGGCGACCCTGAACTTATCGGCAAATGGACCTTCGATATCAAAGAGCTATCAGAATGTCGTGAACTCTTCTTTTGCGGGTTCTGACACAAAATCTCCTACTTATGGACAATGGGCGATCTTCTCTGTCTCTACACCACTCGTCAATGCATTCCAGAAAGAGAGTTCTAACAAAGAAAGTGTCTTGAAGGTTCAAGATACCGGAGGTAAGTCTCTCCCACTAACTAAATGAAACTTTAACTGACTATATTCCACAAGCCGGGGAATTGGCGGATCTTATCGATGAATTTTCAGAAGGGAAAATACAGTTCGCTTATGTCAAGGTTGTAGATCCGAACACGGGTCTTCCCAAGAATGTTCTCATTGCCTGGTGCGGCGAAGGTGTCCCTGAACGGACAAAAGGATATTTTACCAGTCATTTGTCTGCCGTTTCGAAGTTTTTGCACGTTAGTTCACACTTGCCCCATTCCTACTTCTTATCTGACTCAAAGATCTACCAGGGATACCATGTACAGATAACTGCTCGCTCGGAGGGAGACCTAACCGCCGAAGGAATCATACAGAAAGTTGGCGACTCATCCGGCGCAAAGTACACCCCAGGTGCAGCCCAACAACCATCCTTGACACCCAAGCCGCCGATATCGACGAAGCCTGTTTTCACCCCTAGCCGAACTGCTGGCATTGATCTGAGAGCAGGGGGATCGGGCCCACAGCGGGTAGTCCGGAGCCATGATGACAATGATGGCTGGGGCCCTGATGCGCCACCTGTTACTAGGACCGAACTTGAAAAGGTCCAACCTGCCTATAAGCCGACGAAGGTTGATATCCAGAAACTGAGGTCAGAGACAAGAGATGCCACGGCCGTGAATGAAGCGCAGCGTTCTGAGGATCGTGGCGATATTGTCAAAGGCGGTTACCAACCTGTTGGGAAGGTAGATATTGCCACAATCCGGAAACAGGCCCGCGAAGCAGGCAACTTTAGTGATGATAAGCCAGAGCCTGTGCGGGGTGCATATGAGCCCGTCGGAAAAGTCGACATCGCTGCAATTCGGTCCAAAGTACAGAAGCCAAACGTTTCTACAGCTGACAACGAGCGCGGCTCTCACGAATTGACTAATGCAGCGCCATCCAGCAGTTCGGAGCGTCTGAGCAGCTTACCGAAGCCGAAAGTGGCGAACAAGTTCGGTATTAATTCAGCGTTCGTGGGTACAAAACCGCCTCTGCCTGTTGTCCCTTCTACAAAGGCGGGCTCTTCTACCGCACAGATTGGCAGTGCAAGCCGTACATTTGCCGATGAGGGTGGAAAGACGCCGGCACAACTCTGGGCAGAAAGGAAAGCTAAAGAGCGTGGACAAGAGAATGTATCGGCCCCGCTACCGTCGAATGGCACCACTGCCATCAACCAGGAAAGTGAAAGGGGGGAATGGAAGAGTTCCTATAGCGGCAAAACTTGGGCCCCGGTTCAGACCACAAACACCGGCAAGTCCTTCGATAGTGACGTTCCCCAGCCGTACCAGGCGTCAGATTCTGCTCCTACTGAGTCGACCCAAATTGATACCCAAACTCCCCAACCAAGTGTCAGTGCTATCAGGGATCAATTTTCTCAAGGCCCTGCGCCAGATTCTCCTCTGGTACGAGAAAATGCCAAGAATAGCAGCCATTCCATTCCTTTACCTGGCCTGCGGGTCGATTCGCAGGACTTGGAAGCTCCTCAAGAGTCTGTAACTCGTCAAGAGCTTCCCACCCCGCCGCAACAGCCTCGATCTCCGACCCCACCTAGTCCGGAGCGCGAAACTTCCCCAATACGCGTTGCCCTACCCGTGGGTAAAGGACCTACTGATGTTCACGAGGAGCAACGCTCGCCACCTGTGATACCCATTGGAAGTCTACAAGACGCAGTGCCCAAAGAAGAGGAGCTGGAGGATGATGTGCACGACATTGGACGGGCGACGGCCCAAGCTACTGTTGGTGATGAAATGCAAGAAGACGGGATCAAAGCTCTCGTACAGTATGATTACGAGAAAGCAGAAGATAATGAGATCGAACTGAAGGAAGGCGAGTACGTTACTAATATCGAGATGGTTGATCAGGACTGGTGGTTAGGGTCGAACGCCCAGGGAGATAGAGGTCTTTTCCCCAGCAATTATGTGGAGGTAGTTGCAGATGAGGAACAGACCCAGGCGGCTTCAGGACGTCACGAAGATACGGTTGAATCGGATTCTCCAGTACCTGTCACGAAAGTCACTGAATCTCCGGCTCCGGCTCCGGCTCCGGCTCCCGTGCCAATCAATGAGTCTACTGCGACGGCTCTGTATGACTATGAAGCCGCTGAAGATAACGAACTCAGCTTTCCTGAGGGCGCTGAAATAACTAACATTGTAAGTCGTGATTATTCGAGCCTATAAATCTCGATGCCCCCTTTTCCCCTCTTCCCAGCATATGGGGAAGCCTCCAATCATTGATAGCTAATCATCTGGGCCATTGCCTATGCCCTCCAGGAATTCCCCGATGATGATTGGTGGTTTGGTGAGTACCTTGGTAGAAAGGGGCTCTTCCCAGCCAACTATGTGCAACTTGCGAAATAAATGCCGTGCAATCCTTGTCTGCTGCAGACTCGCTGAGTGCGACACCCGAACGTGGCCGAGCATGAAGAAATCAACTGGCGAGGGGAAAATAACAGAAGTATGTCTGCGAAGGTGCAACTCTCCTTGGCAGGTTGTTGTTTGGGGGAGGGGCTTGTTTCCTGCCTTTGGTGCTTTGTAAATGTACTTAGTATGCACTTGTTATCAATTCATAGTGTATAGTTTCGAGCCTTTTACTGTTTGGTCAGCGGGGTCAAATATTTCTAGATCGAGAAGAAGGGTGTTGTTGGTATACGCAAGACTTCACCGAAGAAGGAAGTGGCTGAAGTTCAAAACAACATGGGTGCATAGCAGTACCGTGACTCTGAATAGAAGGCCATAAAGCCGATGGACCGCTGACAAAACGAACGAATCAGAAGGTAGAATGCGGTGCCGCTGCTCATTAGTAATAATCACATGACATCCTGGTCTAACTCTACTGCACATGAAATCCGGCGGTTTGAACCACTGAGGGTGCTACAGAAAAGGATAAAGGGCGCTGCCCGGGTTGCATACTTCGTTATTTCTTCTTCGATATTTGAAGCATTGAAAGAAAGGTTAGCCCCTTTTTTTTTGAAAGTTGGCAGAGATATTGTGAGCATACAGCACCTAACCTGAAACTGTACTTCTCAGTTATTATTTTCCCCAGTATTGACAAGAAGACTATCCACGTTTGATAAAGACATTGGGGCCTGTATCACTGGGCACTTTTACAACGATGACAGCTCTTAGCGAAGACCTGCTTGTGACTGTGAACAAGCTTCAAGATCTTGTCTTTAATACGATCGGAAATGACTCCCTTGACTTGCCGCAGATTGTAAGTTCCTGCAATATTTACCCGGCAAGGGTCCGCCCATGCTATGGTGCTAATAATCTGTGCAGGTTGTTGTGGGCTCTCAGTCATCTGGCAAATCGTCCGTACTTGAGAACATTGTTGGCAGAGACTTCTTACCACGAGGAAGCGGTATAGTCACGAGGCGCCCGTTGATCCTCCAACTCATAAATATTCCCAGCGAACGGCACGACAAGCCCGAAAGCGATGAGGTTCATATACCCCATACAGCAGCAAGTGTGGCGGGACAGTATGAGTGGGCAGAATTTCACCATCTCCCTGGCCGCAAATTCGATGACTTCGCCTTGGTTAAGCAAGAGATTGAAGCGGAGACCGCAAGGATAGCTGGAAGCAACAAAGGAATTAATAGACAGCCCATCAACCTCAAGATATTTTCACCGCACGTACTCAATCTTACCATGGTTGACTTGCCGGGGTTGACGAAAGTGCCTATCGGGGACCAACCGTCCGACATTGAAAAGCAAACACGGGCTCTAATACTTGAATACATAGCGAAGCCGAACAGTATCATCTTAGCTGTTTCGCCTGCTAATGTTGACCTTGTGAATTCCGAAGCTTTGAAGCTTGCTCGTCAAGTGGACGCCATGGGTCGAAGGACAATTGGAGTTTTGACGAAACTGGACCTCATGGATCATGGCACGAACGCCATGGACATTCTCTCTGGGCGCGTCTATCCTTTGAAGCTCGGATTTATTGGAGTTGTTAATCGATCACAACAAGACATTCAATCTGGGAAATCACTGTCTGACGCATTGCACGCCGAAGTCGATTTCTTCCGACATCACCCAGCCTATAGGAATATGGCGAACCGTTGCGGTACGCAGTTTCTTGCGAAAACCCTGAATACCACCTTAATGTCCCATATCCGGGATCGGCTGCCCGACATCAAAGCGCGTCTTAACACTCTCATGGGTCAAACTCAGCAAGAACTTGCAAGCTACGGCAATAAACAGTTCAGCGGAAAGGAACATCGTGGATCCCTTATTCTACAGCTTATGACGCGCTTCGCCTCGTCTTTCATATCTTCCATCGATGGAACGTCCTCCGAGATATCAACCAAGGAACTCTGTGGAGGGGCGAGGATATATTATATCTTCAACTCCGTTTTCGGCAATTCTCTCGAAACAATCGATCCTACCCACAACTTAACTGTTACTGATATTAGAACTGCTATTCGGAACTCGACTGGTCCACGTCCGAGCCTATTTGTTCCGGAGCTCGCTTTTGACCTGCTTGTCAAACCTCAAATAAAAATGCTAGAAGCTCCTAGCCAGAGGTGTGTTGAATTGGTCTATGAGGAACTCATAAAGATTTGTCATACGTGCGGCTCGCAGGAATTGCTTCGTTTTCCACGGCTTCAAGCGAAACTGATAGAGGTGGTGTCTGACCTTCTTCGTGAGCGCTTGGGACCGTGCTCAGCTTATGTTGAATCGCTCATTTCCATCCAGAGGGCATATATCAATACAAACCATCCTAACTTCCTCGGTGCAGCAGCGGCTATGTCGTCTGTCATGCAGAACAGGCAAGAACAGGAGAGACGGGCAGCGCTAGCGGATGACCGGAAAAAGCGCGAGAAGAGACGATTGAAAGAACTCGGAGCGGTGAATGGGAACACGCCAGCATCCCCTGAGGATGAGGACGAACAGCATGCAGATCCTAAGACGCAAAATATTCCCATCAGGAGTCAACCTCCGAGAAATACCAGAAGCATGTCCCCTCACTTTGGCAAAGGACAAGAAGGTGGCGTGACCGCAACCTTGAATGGAGCCCATGCACAGTATCAAACTGCTTTTGGGACAGCCAATACCACTCGTGATTCGTTCCTTAACTACTTCTTCGGTAAGGACGGCGCGCAACCTACCAGCTCATTGCCTCAGCTGTCGGGACAGAGCCGTCCATATACCAATGTCAATGAAGCAAGCATTAGTCACAGCACTCGCCGGACTGATATACGTTCCCCTATCATGTCAACTGATGAGTTCCCACCTCCTATGGAATTTACCGGTGATGTCGGAGCTGCCGTAAGTTTATCGTACCCTTTGTTACACGAAAGACATATGCTGATCATCATTGTAGCCGAAGGACGACCCCGAAGCTGTCCTCTCCGACCGTGAACTGTTAGAGACTGAGCTGATTAGTCGACTCATATCTTCTTACTTCAACATCGTCAGAGAGACCATCGCAGATCAAGTTCCAAAGGCTATCATGCATCTCCTTGTCAACCACAGCAAGGATGTTGTGCAAAATAGACTCGTGAGCGAACTTTATAAGGAAGATTTATTTGCAGAGCTTCTTTACGAGGATGATGGCATCAAGGCGGAGAGGGAGAAGTGCGAGAGATTGCTGGATACCTACAAGGAGGCAGCGAAGATTGTCGGAGAAGTCCTGTAACATTATCGATGAAAGAGCAGACTGGGGACCATCAGCTTGCGCTATCAGCCAAGACAATATCCAGCTTCTGGCCTTCTGAAATCCCGGGGTCCGGATGATGTCGCACATTTTTGTATTTATAGTCTGACATATTATCATCACCTGCGGTAATCCACAGTTACATCATGCGGAACAATAGAGAAGCAGTGGTGACGAGTAGTCAGTCAAAAGAAACTAGGTGTTGTCTATTAATGGCCATCGATGCGTCGAAGCTAATAGATGTCAGGTCTACGCGGTAATATGCATTCCAATGTATACATATGTTTATAAAGCCCAAGCCAATTCTCGAGGCACATGCACCATCATACACAATATACTCAGATGTATATATATATGCACATTTCTATCTTTATGACTGGAAGACCTTCCTGGCCGTAATAATGCCGTGAAAAAATAATCCTAGCGAAACATGACTGTTTTAATCGTTTTTAGCAGTTTTCACCTTGGGGCGTGCACCTTCAATGCCATATAAGGCGCCGCCTATGAAAACAAACAATGCGCCCATGAGCACACCTGGTGAAAGGGCATTTCCAAACAGATAGATGGAAAGGAGAAGAGAAACAAGCTTCCGAACATTGAGAACAACGGTGACAGTTAAAGAAGATGACTTTGCGGAGAGGCGATGGACTCCTCGTATGCACAAGTACTGCGTCAGCGCATTAATCAGAAGGTAGATTACACGTGTCGGGACACACGTGAATATTGAGTGCATTTGGAAAATATCCTTCAGAATCGGAATCTGCCCTGATATACCACCGGGTACTGACGCAAAACGCCATCCCTCGCACGACTCTTCCGAGAAACTGATGCCTTCAAGACCGGCCGATGATGCATGGCTCGGAGGACCCATTCCGGTCATGCCCAAAATCTCAGGCCCAGAAGTTGGGGGATATGTCGAGAAAAGCATCCGCCACTGGCTCACAAGTTGTGCATAAGCGGGTAAAAATAGCGGTAGTGATAGGGTGTGAGAGTAGAACAGAGCTTCTTTCCAGTGGTCTCGGCCGTACTTTGCGTAGAGCCTGTCCGCATATATCCCCTGGAAAGCCGAGAGTATCATCGCTAGAGCAAGGATGGTGAACCCAACCAATGTCGTGGTTGCAGAAGTGCTTTCAACATTCATAGACTGGCCTTTAGCCTTGGCATCTGCTAAAGCAGCAGTGACAACACCCAAAGTAAGCATTAGAACCGCGAGTATTTGCCCTCGTGAATATCTCTTAGCATTGAACAAGTAGCCGATGATCATAGACGCTACTGGGCCCCCAGATCTTAGAATAATGTGCAACGGAACTGAGATCCTATAGGCAAAGGCCCAGTTGTTGAGAAGATTGACTGTAACGAAAAACGCTGTGTAGACTAGCCATGATCTTAGTGGAATGGCACGCGGACTAAGATATAGTGAATGAGGTCCCGCTGACACAGAGAGAAAGCCAGGAACCGTTAGGACTGCAGTTAGAAGGAATTGAGCAAACGTTATCAGAGGACCTTGAGCGAAGACGTTAGAGAAACCTGGGATAGAAATGGTTGGTTGATGGAAACTAAATACCAGAGCTTGGCTGGTCTCTGTATAGAAGTCAGTTTCGTTCAAACCCCTATGAATTGCGGAGGCACTTACTTGATGATTGCTTCGAGTGCAAAAACCTAACCATCTGGCGTCAGTAGCGGAACGTAGCCATACCTGGGCACATACTCACATTGGCGCAACAGCCACCAAAGATCAAGGAGAACATCAAAATTATATTTGTCCATTGAGGCAGTACAGTATGAGTGGTAGCACTTATTACACTTGTTAAGTGCCCAGAAGCGGTATCTGTAGGGCCCATAACCTCATTATTCCTTTTTGCCTGCTTCGGGACCCTTTCAGCATCCACATTGTTTATCCCATTACCTGAAGTTAAAGTAGTTTCAAGCTTGTAGTCAGCACCCGGTTTACTCTCTGTCTGT